AAAAAAAAAAAGTTATTGCACCTCCCTGGTGGTGCAACAGTTTATATAAAGTACAGCACTATTAAGCTAGCTGAAGCTGCTTCAGTACAAATTCCATCTCAGGGAGCTGACCCACATGGTGTGGCAGAATTCTGACCTGCCTACTGCTCCCCTCAGCAGTGTACTTCGTCAGTCTGCCTGTTCTGCTCCCCACTTTGTCTGGTGAATCCTCTCACCTCCCCTGCACCTCTGACCTGTACTGTATGCATAAATAAATAAATCTTTTTTAAAAAGTTCTTGAACATTCATAAGCACAGACTCTGGATCTTAATCACTTGGATGCAGATTCTTATTTCACCACTTATACCAAAGTGATTTTAACGAGTTTCCCTGACTTTTCAGGGAGTGCCACTTCAGAGGCATAGACTGCCACTGCAGAAAGATGGCATGAAGCAAATTTTCAGTAATCTCTTTTTAAATTTTTTTATTTATGCATAACAGGCCAGTGGCACAGGAGTAGTGAGAAGATTTACCAGAGTCAGAGTGGAGAGCAGAACAGGCAGGTGTACTGAAAGACACTGCTGAGAGGCGCACCCGGCGGGTCAGGAGAGGTCTGCTGCACCATGTGGGTCAGCTCCCTGGTCAGGGACAAAATTCCTGCAGCAGTGGCTGCTGACAACTTCATAGTGCTGTGCTTTAACCAGCTGCGCCAACAGGGAGGACCCTCAGTAACTTTTAAAGGCAGATGATGTGCAAAATCCTCCCCAGGAGAAAGGACAAGCTGCTGGTTGACACAGTCCGCTAGGGGGAGTCACTGCAGATAGAGTACCAGCACTTCTGGCTCACCAGGAAAAACCCTAAGCCTCAGATCTGCATACTGAGAAAGCCGGTTGGCTAGGAGGCTCTAGGGCCATTGTGCATTTCCTGTAGAATATGGGGAGAAGAGACTGGGCAACGTCAGACATATGAAGTCTCATGCTGAGCTATGACCACTTGACTGGGGTGTAAGCACGGGTCTAGGTGAGCAAATAAAGAAGAGAGCATCCTGGGTGTATACTGTGTGAACCAGGGAGGGCACACTCCCTGTGAAGTGGGCAGGAAGACCTTATTCTAATCACGTTGATTTACTGACTCATTCACTCCAACACCTTCACATAAAGTAAACACTATTAATCTACCTGTTTTAACAGAGACATCTACTGAATTACACTGCTAAGGGGAACAGCGGGCTGGTCAGAAGAGGACCCCAATCATGTGGTCATAGTGTAACAGGGTGGTCCCTAGGAAAAAGGGAAGTTCCAGGTTCCCTGCCCCACCCAGAAGGAGGGTGGAGCTGAGCAGAGAAAAAGGAGAAGAGAGAAGAGAAGGAAGCTGGATGTGTTACTGGGCACCCCAGTGTGAATTGGGTTGCCTGTCTGTGGGTCTTCACCCGTGCGCTTACGATTCACTTGTATTATGGACACACTCAAAAGGTTACATAATGGATTTATTTATAAGGAGAAAGGTAAAGGAATAACCCAGGGAAAGAGGGAGAGAAACACAGGTTAACTAGGATGTCCTACCCGTTCTGCTGACTTGGACTCCACCCGCACGCTGAAAACCAATTGAGCGCCAAAACCATCAGCTGAGAACCACCAGGTCCCCCCAGAACCCACATGTCCGGTTTTATCCCAACCTGGCTGCTCAGCTCCACCCTCACGTCCCAGCGTGCTTCTTCTTGGTACTGATGGGATTTGGAGTTCCAGCATCTGGAGTAGGGGCGGAGTCCATGAAACCTGTACCTGTTACAGATGGAGAGCCAGGAGACCTGAGGAAGCCACATGGAGCAGCAAGCATGTGATGAAGAAACCGGGCTTGTTTCCTGACCCTGGACTGGTTAAGGCAGATGTGGGTGAGATACCTGTAGGGAGATGACTATGGCAGTGTTTATATTGATTTTGATTTTGCTCTTTTCCTCCCAGATTTGTCTGGCCATGTCTGACCCTTTTCCATGGGTCCCGGCCAGAAGGTGCTTTAGTCTTGTGGCAGCTTTCAGGCCTTGCTTTGGGCCAACCCCTTTTGGGTGGACTTTTCCCATGAGAGGATGGGTACCTTCAGGTGTTTGATTTAGAAGTTATATTCTTTGTGTTCCATATTGTATATTCACTGTATTAAAGTCCCTTTTCATTAAAGTTTTATATGTTTTGTCTTCTTGTGGCGGATGGCAGAACCCACTTAGAGCAGGCAGGATTTTGGGGTTTCAGGGGTGTCCCTCTCCCCCTGTTCTGGAACAGATTTGGGGTGCCCTATAACAATAGCTCAGCGTGAGACTTCACCATGTCTGATGTTGCCCAGTCTCTTCTCCCCATATACTACAGGAAATGCACAATAGCCCTAGGCAGCCTCCTAGCTAACCGGTTTCCTCAGTATGCAGTCCTGAGGCTTAGGGGTTTTCCTTGTCAGCTAGAAGTGCTGGTGCTCTATCTGCAGTGACGCCCCGTAGGGGACTCTCCAACCAGCAGCTTGTCCTGCCTCCTGCTGAGGAGTTTGCACAAAAGCTGCCTTTAAGTTACTGAAATTAGACCTTCCCTGGTGGCACAACAAGTTAAAGCACAGCACTATGAAGCTATCAGCAACCACGAGTTTGGTTTCCCGGCAGGGGTGGTGATCCACATGGCACAGCAGACCTCTCCTAACCTGCCTGCTGTCCCCTCAGCAGTGTGTTTCAGTAGATCTGTCTGTTCTGTCCCCACTGTCTCTGGTGAAACCTCTGACCTGTTGTGCATAAATAAATAAATTTTTAAAAAAAGAGAGAGAGAGATTACTGAAATCTTGCTTCATGCCATACTTCTGCAACTGCAGTCTCTGCCTCTGAAGTAGCAGTTGGCGACCCTACACACTGCCTCTTGCTCTCACCTTAGACATCAACAGGCAAGGGCCTGAACTGGGAATGGTAACTGGGTGAGGCCTTCCCCCATAAACTTAAAACCCACTAAAATTCAAAACTCTCCATCTCCACAATCAGAGGATCCAGAGAGGCATCAGAAACATGGAAGTGGGGATTTTATGTATAAAATACACAGACAAAGCATGTTTTGCCACATTTATTTTGTTATGTGGTATACACGCTAGGCATGAGTTAAGTCTAGTGTCCTATCCTGTGATTCCAGGAGAGCGCACAGGCAAGGAAAGCCCAATGGGGAGGGTATGGGTGCTGGCAGAGGCAGTGGGAAGACTCTGGCAGGCTGCTCTGACTTCAAGCAAAGACTCCTGCCCTCAGTCATCCCTTTATCCAGTGGTCTCGGGTAGCAATGGGAGAGGAGCAGGGAGAAGAGAAAAGGATTCAGTATTGGATGAAGGCATCTCTGCTCCGAATGGCTAGCACTACAGGCAAAATTAGATGCAGGCGGCCAGGCCAATGGTTGTGGGGTGCTATGGGTACTCAGTAGGCATGGTTGGCAACGTAGAGGGACTGTGCTGCAGCGCCACCATCTTCTCCAGTGCCTTCATACTTGCCCTGGGCAGCAAGCCCATTCACCTGCAAAAGAAGGGGGGAGGCAGTAAGCAGATCAAACCAGCCCACAGGTGCCATATCCTGTAGGCAGCACACAATCCCACCCCGACAACCTCAGCCCTCTTGATGAATTCCTCAGTGGCAGCTCCCGCGTTGTCCCGCTGCCCTCGCCAGGCATTGAGTGCAGAGGCTTGCAGGGCACGCCCATAGGAGAAAGTGAGGGCCCAGGGCCGGGGAAGGGGACATCGGTTGATGGCATTGAGGTTGAGGGATGCCTCCTCTTCACTCTGACCTCCAGACAGGAAGGTCACTCCTAGGGTGAAGAAGAGAAGATAAATTGGTCACTTCCTATTTTTTCCTGGGGAAAGGACCCCAAAGGTGACAAGAAGAACCTGAGGATGAGTCTTAGGATAGCAGCAGGTTAGAAAGGGTGATACCTGGAACAGCTGGGGGCACAGTGCGACGCAGGGCAGTGACAGTTGCCATGGCAATTTCCTCCGGGCTATACTTAATGGGACAGGCATGGCCAGGGGTTACCATGTTGGGCTTGAGCAGGGTCCCCTCCAGGTACACATGATGGTCACTCAGAGCCTTGTACACAGCAGCCAGGACCTGGGGAGTAGAGGAGGTTTACAAGGTTCTGGGCCCCTGCCGTGTATTCGTCTGTGTTCCCTGTCTCAAAGTGACTGGGCTTCACATGACTATCAAAACAGGCTCAGACTCATGAGTCTGTCCTGGGATCAAGTAAAAGAGGACTTGGGAAAAGAGCCTGAATCTGGATGATGGATTATGGATTATGTTCCTTCGTCAGGCTGCCCTGTACGTATCCGTGCCGAGGTGTAGACTCACCTTCTCTGTAACGTACTGGCAACGCTTGAGGTCATGGTCCCCGTCAGGGAGGATTTCAGGTTCCACAATAGGCACAATGCCATTCTGCAGGTAAGCGCAGGAGAGTTGGGAGGGGCAATGGATGGGATGGGAGAAAGCGCGCTGTAACTGTCGGGCACAAGGCTTCCACCTGAGCCCCTCACACACATACACATACCTGCTGGCAGATGCTGGCATAGCGGGCCAGCACATTGGCATTCTCCAGAATGGCAAGTGCTGAGGGCGTGCGCTCGCTGATCTTCATCACACAGCGCCACTTGGCGAAGTCGGCGCCATCCTTCTTGTACTGGGCACAGCGTTCTGAGAGCCCATCCAGACCTGCAAGCATAGTGCCAGCCTTGTCACTCTGCCCGTCTGTGCCAGTATCAACCACCCAATGGCTCTGTGGTGCTAAAGCCCTGTACCTTGAGTGGTAGTTTCTCCATCAGTGCCAGCTAACGGGACTACACCCTTGTCAACCTATAGGGAAACAAATAGGGGCTGAACAAATAGGGGATTCTCCATACACCACATTTTCACATCCACCCTCCTCCAGTGGCTGCACCTTGATGCCCACAACAATGCCTTTATCCTGGATGGTACGGATGAAAGGGACACCATTATCATCTTTCTGGTAAAGTGTCTCATGGAAGAAAATAACGCCTCCAATGCACTTCTTCACACGGTCATCGGCACTGAACAGAACCTGGCGGTACAAACGGCGATTCTCCTCTGTGTTTTCCACCCCAATTTGGCTCAGCCGCTTGGCCATGCTGCCTGGAGGCAAATGAAGAAAGGTGGCAAGATCATCCCCAGGGGGTCTCAGATCACCCCCTCCCATCACTCTGCCACAGACCCCCCACCTACCTACAGATTCATCTGCAGCCAGAATGCCTTTGCCTGGGGCCACAATCCGAAGAGTGATGTCAGACAACTCCTTTTTCTGCCCAGCAGAAAGGGCTGGGTATGAGTGGGGCATGGCGACAGCTCTCTGGAGTGGAGACAAGATAATAAGACTGGACCACATCCACTAACTGCTCTGTTTCCTGTCCTTGCCATATGGGCTTAATGGCTTTCCCTCCACCCCACCCCCCAACAATCATGGGACTGGGAACAGGGCAGTCATTCTTGGCATGGGTTCTAGGCATCGAAGTGGCACCAGTCCTGCTGACAGCAGGCTTAGGGCCCCAGTTCTCACACTCCTTTTGTCCCCGGTGGGCACCCTTCCCAGCCTCAGGGAACGATGTAGGATGGGGGTAGGGAGGGAAGCAGCCCTGAAGCTACAGGTCTTTGATGAAACTGCTGCCGAGTAAAGATGCCAATCTTCTCTCACTGACTTTCACCCCTTTTTCAATTAAGCAAAAGCCCTGGCCTTTTCAACTTTCCCGTTTTCATCCTCAGCAGGGTCCCCAGGAAAATGCACTTACTTCCAAGGCTTCAGAATGAGGCAAAAACACCCCATCACTGCTCCTTCCCTAAGCTTCTGGAGGAAAGTCTTGGTTTTCTATGGGGGTTGGGGCAGCTTCGGAGGAAGAGTGGTACTAGTAACTGCCACAGGCTTTCATAACCCCTTTTATGCCCCTCGCCTCACTGGCTATGCAGTTGGGAGTTGGGAGCAGAGGTCAGGGTTCAGAGGAATGAGCAGAAAAAGGAAGGGAGAGATGCAGGAAGAGCAAGGAGGAGCCTTTCCGGGAGGTGATGGACAGGCTAATAGTCAGGGAGTAGGACCTAGACCAGGGGGAATGAAGGCAAGAGAACAGGAGAAGGAAATTAGCCTAAAAAAGGGACATGAAAAATGCCAAAGACAGAGGAACATTAAGGATTGGATAAGTTAAGGTCCAGGTGTGAGAGGTGAGTGAGGGGTGGAAGAAGCTGAGCCACGGGATTTGGAGTGAAGATGTAAGAGAGGATGTAAGGAGAGAGCGAGAAGGCACGTCCAGGGACCCCAGGGAACAGGGCAAGGATAGCAAGAAGAGCCAAGGGAAGCAAGCAGAGATGCTAAGTAGCTCCCACCTCACCCGGAGCCTCACCTGTGCGCAGCAGTTAGCGGCGGCAGCCACGGGAACAGCTCAGCCAGAGGAACACCTCGACTCTGAGGAGCAGCCGCTGTGGCTCCAGCCCAAGCTCCAGTAAATGAGGCGGCTAATGCCGCAGAGGTACGTGACTCCCCCCCCCGGGGGGCGGGGCCGGCATCTCACCGCCACGACCACGCCCCTTCCCGGGACTGGCGGCCGCCTTTGACCACGCCCCCAGGGGCGGAGCGACGAGGTGGAGTGACTCCTGGTCCCGGGCCATCTTGCAGGCTGTGGTGGACTCTCCCCCTCCCATCTCTTGGAGCGCAGCCACTAGGGCCCCAGACACAGGAAATGGTCTTGCCCTCATTTCTGCCACAATAGCCTTTACCAAGAACATAGCACTGTGCAGGATGTTGGGAATTTTGCCTGTCACAACAGGTAGATGGGACAGAGGCACTAACCAAGTGTGGGAGTCCTGGGCAAGGAGTAAGCAACGGACTTGGGTGACTTTATTGGTCCTCACCCCATTATTCATCAAGGCCTAGACCAGAGGGGGATGGAGAAGGTAAGAGAATGAAGCCTTGTCTGTTGCCCCCAGGCCCTAAGCCAGGGACAAACAGTCCAGTGCCCAGCGCATTTGGGGAAGCAAGGGAAGAGAGGAGGGGCAGCTGGTTTTGGCTCGGCATTAGAACAGGAGGAATGTGTGGAGGAACCCAGGAAAGAGGACCTAGCTGCATCTCCCCAGACCTCATCCACCCCTCCTCAAAGAAAGAAGATCAGGGAGCCTGAAGAAATACACTAAATATATTTTATTTAAATAGCATTAAAACATAGCTGGATTAAGTAATAATAAAAAAAAAAAGATAAACATCTCTGGCTGTGTGCCAGTTGGTCCTGGAACTGGGTTAAAGGTGTAATACAGGTAAAAAGGGGTGAAAACAGATTCCAGCTTTCCATTTCTTAGCTCAGAAATTCCAGCAATTCCTGTAGCTCCTTGCAGCCCTTCACAACATCTGGAATGGACAACAAAGTCTGGGAAAAGAGGCAGAAAAGGCAGCTCAGGGCCACAGGCTTGAGGGCTAAAGCTCACAGCCCCAGGAAGCACCCAGTCATCACTGAGTTAGAGGAGAAAAAAATAAGCCACTGAGTAGCTTGCAAGAGTGAGTAAAGCCCAGCTCTCAGCACACTCTGGGAACTGGAGCTGTGCTCATCTCTACCTACTAGGGCCGCACCCTGTTCCATGGTCTTTTTAGTTGTATCAATTCCTTCCCTCCTTTACCTCATAAATGTGCTGAACAATGTCATCTAGTTTCTTTAATTCCTTGTCAGAACGCCGAAGATTCTCTTCCAGGATATTTCTCTAGAAAGCAAAGAGACTGTACAAAGCCTGTGCTTAAAGGAATAGCAGTTTTTGCTGGTGGTGGTGGGAAATGCATGGGAATTCTTACATGGCTCTGGAACTTGACCATGAGTTTTGCTTTCTCATTTTTCATCTCCAGGAACATCACCCTCAGTTTATCCACCTATAGATATGTCCAGGTCAGTAGGGGCATAGTCTAGGGTTCCCACCAGCTGCCTACCTCCTCTATCAACCCAGAGTCACCTCCTGGGAGAGCCACACTTTCTCCTGGATCCAACTAGTGGCCATGGGCTGACAGCTGGGGTCCAACTGGCCTGCCAGAGTCTCTTGGAGCACCTTAGTCTCTGTCTCTGCACGCCGAAGTGAGCGGGTAAGTTGTGTCACCTCCTCTCTCAGGCTCTGGGGGTAAGAATGGAGAGATATACAGTAGCCCCCAAATACCCTCACTATCCTTCTTATCCAAAGTGAACAAGAGTAGACCAGGGGATCTAATCCCCAGAATGGGGATCCTGGCTATCAGTGACTCAGGAAGTAAAAAGCCGGGCGTCTTGAACATACTATGAGCTCGCCACTCTTGTCTATCTGCTCTAGGATCTTCTGGTTTTGCTGCTGTATCACCTCCTGCAGCTCTTTTTCATTCTGTGAAGCAAAGGGAGTAATGAAGGCATTGAGGGAGGCTCGAATCTTAAAGCCCTTGCCAGGAAATAATATTTAGTATCTGACTCATGCTCAGCCCAGGTGATACCAATTAGTGACACTCCAGTTCTCCCTCCAGGGCTACATCAGACAAGACACATTTCAGTGATAAGAGTTCTGCTAGAGTTCCCAACTTCTAGGTTGGCCTGGGGAGATGGGTCACCCCATAGCTGACTCCCAAACGTGAAATGTCTGACCCCAGAGGGGTAAAACTAGGGCAATGGTTGGAAAATCCCCACCACCCAGCTTCCTGGAGAGACAATGATTCCCAGTGGGCCAGTAGAGCTGCTCCAGTTCGTTGCCCCACTTCTAGGCCCCTCCTTCACCTTGTAGCGCAAGCACAAGGCCTGGTTCAGCTTCTCTATGTCTGCTTCCTTTGCCTTCTGCGCTTCCTGATGCTGTTCTTCCCGGGCCTGCAGTCTATCCTGTAGATCACAACTAGGGGAGGGAAGAATTCAGCATCATTCCTGTCCTCTCAGGGCTAGCTAGGCCCTTGCCATTAGGAGTGTTCTCACTTGACCTCTCTCACATTTTCCCCTGCAGACTCCTGACAGCTTCTTCTTTAGACTCTTGCAGCAGGGAACACAGGCTCTGAAGCTCCAGAGTCCTACCACTCAGTTCTGCCAGACTCTTCTCCACATCAGGGGTCTCTGAAAGGAAAAGTCCCAGATAAAGGCAGAGGTGTGGCAAGAGCATAGCTATCATTTCCACAACTCTTATCCATGTTCCCCACCCACAGGATTTGAATGTCCGGAACATTGCAGATCCCAAGAGGCAGTAATAAAATGAGCCCGAATAGAATTGAGGTTTTTAGAGCAAAGCACTTCTCATTGCTTTAGTCCTTATCCTCACTACCAGATCTAGAAATGAGGCAGGCTCCCTGGAGAAACCACCCTAACCTGTAGGCTGAAGGGACGCCATGGGTGCTACTCGGGTGAACGCACTCTTGTCACTTCCAAGCAAGGGCACAGGAGCCGATTCTGGATGTAAAACAAAAACCAGCCATGGCCGAGGCCCCTCTGGTGACCTGGCCAACAGTCTGCCAGGGAGAGAGGGGTCTGCTGGTGGGTATCTCCAACAGCTGAAGATATCAGAAGTGGCCACAGCTTTCCACCCCTAGATTCCAGGCCTCTAACCTGTGTCTACTTTTGCTGTCAAGATGCTTCCCAAGCAGGCACTGTTGGTGAGTGGAGGTTGTGCTTCGGGATCAGCCTAAGGGCAAAGGAGAAAAAAACCTAGTTGCTTTTCAGGGCTAGTGATTTCCCCAAACTCCCCGACCACATCTGCAATGCTATTCTATTACCTCTTCGCTATCTTCCAATTTCTCCATTAGCTCTTTTCCCTGAACTTAATTCTATCATGGGAGCAATAACAATTAAAAAGAAAAAAAAAAAAAAACTTCCTAAATCCCCTTTTAGCTACTGCATTTTCTCTTTCCCATTAATTAAAGAAAGAAAGAAAAGCCTACATTTCTTGCCTATTCCCTTCACCATCTATTAATTCCCCTGTCCACTACAATGCAGTGACACTCCACTATTTCACCAAAATTTTCATCATTTAATTCACCAATGCCATTCTTACTTTCAAATGCAATGGACAATTTTCAGCTCTGCTTTTACCTGAGTTATTTCATGATTAATGACCACATTCTTCCTTTAGAAATGTCCTTTTCTTAGCTTTGGGGCATGGCTCTCTCTCCTTCAAAGGCAGGTCTCATATCTTTCAGGCTATATCTTTTCTATATCCACAGGTCCTTTGTTAATTATTAGTCTCATCCCTTGCTCTTTTAACATTTTAATCCATTCCCCATGTGACCTCACCTCAGAAACTCCACAAACACATCCACTTCCATAGATAATCCCTCAATCTGTCTCTCTCAGCTGGATTTTTTCCACCACTCCCCAGACCCACAGGCTTGACAGCCAGCAAAAATATCTACCAGACTGTTCCACAATTCACCTGAGGGTAATATGTATAAAACTATACTCACCACTATCCTTATACTAACTCCCCAAATCTGCTCCTCTTCTAATATTTTCAAGTCCCGAGCAGAGGGAACAGCAAATTACAGTCTAGAAGTCAAATCTGGCCTGCCGACTGCTTTTGTAGATAAATTTCTATTGACATACAATTACACCCGACCTTCTACACATTGTCGTGGCAGCTCCTGGGCTATAAAGGCGAAGCTGAGTAGTTGAGACAGACACATCATTTGCAGAACAGAAAATATTATATCACCCTTTATAGGGAACGTCTGCTGACTCTAGTTCTATCGCAACACCATCTCTCCCACAATCTAAGATCCATCATCAGTTACTCTCTCCCTTACTTCAACATAAAACTAGTCACAGGTTGTAGCACTCCTACCTTCTAAATATGAATTAAGTTCATCCAATTGATCTCCTCCTCCCTACCCTTACTATAAGTGCCATGAGTTCAAGTCTTCAGAATCTGACTTCCTACCTACTTCTTCAGCCTGGTCTCCTTGCCGTCCCTACCCAATACAGCGCCTACACTCCAGTTATAAAAAGCCATTTCCTAAACAACCTAAATGCCCCCCAAAAGATGACTGGATCAAGAAGATATAGTATATTTACACAATGGAATACTACTCAGCAATCCAAAAAGATAAACTCATGCCATTTGTAGCAACATGGACGGAGCTGGAAGGGAAATGCTAAGCAAAATAACTCAGAAGGGGAAAGAGAAATAGCAGATGGTTCACTTAGATGTGGAATATAAGGGAACTAGATAAAGGGTCAGGAAAAAGACAAAGACTTGCAAGCTGACTATGTCTGAGGCATACAGCAGGGGAGGGGGAGGAAGAAATCAAAACAGGGGAGGGAAGAGCACAGGGACTGTGGTGATGGTCACGGACTACAGCTGAGGGGAGAAATCAAATATCGTATCAAGATGAACAACATAAAATTTACATAAATAAGTAAATTTTTTTTAAAAGCCACTTTCTAGTCCTCAGACTTACCACATTCCTTGTAAGCAGGGCCTTGCCTTGCTCAACCATAGTCCTGCACCTAAGCAGGGCTTGTTACAAGGTCACCACTACAGAAAGTACACAAAGTATCTCTAAAACTTTTATTTACTATTTCCCCTGCCCAGCAGGCCTCCCTCTAAATCTACCCCTGCCATGCACATTTCTAAACTTCAGGACTGACTGAGGGCCATATGCTTTGAGAAGACATGCTAACTCGCCAAAGTGAAACTGATGCTCCTTTCTCGATGCTCCATGGTGGTCATCCGCACAGACCTCTCTCAGAATCACAAATGAAGACCGCAAGTTTACCCCTCTGCTTCCGCTGCTAGACTGTGGACTCTTTGGCATTTCCTATGCTCAGCATATAACTGGGAAAAGGGTCAGATCATAAGCACATTCAGACCTCAGGATTGTGATTGTACTTTAACTGCTGAATAATCAGTATTCTGTTTTTGGAAAGATGTCAAACACGTTTAGTGTGTACTATGGGAAGCCCTAAAGAAGCAAGGCTAAATGTCTGCTTTCAGTCTAGTTGAACAGACCAGATATCTAAGGAAAGTTAGTGTAAGTGCCAAAGGAGAGTAAGTTCATGAGATCACTGAGTGTGACTGGAGAATATTTCAAAGAAGGTGAATTAGGGAGGACTTTAATAGGAAAGGGAAAGGTATTTCCAGTTTGAAGACAGAGGAGAACAGATGTGGCAACATCGTGAGCCTGAGCAAGAATGGAGGTGGGACACATGTGCGGTGTAGAAACAGCCCAGATGGCTAGCGGATTCATAACGCGGAGGTGGGAGACAGGTGAAGGAAAGTCTAAATGACAGGCTAAGGAGATCTTGTAGGCAACTGAAAGTTACTGAAGGTCACAGAGATGGAAGAATAGCATTTTAAGAAGCTGGTTCTATACAATAAAGACACAATTAGTGACCTCCCTGGTGGTGCAAGTCTCAGCACTATGAAGCTATCACTAGCCACTGCACATGAGTTCGATCCCCGGCCAGGGAGCTGACCCACATGGCGCAGCAGACCTCTCCTGTCTCAACCCCCGCCCCTCAGCGGTGTACTTCATGAGTCTGCCTGTTCTGCTCCCCATTCTGTCTCTGGTGAATCCTCTCACCCTCCCTCCCCCATACCTCTGGCCTACACTTCAGCTCTCGTATGTATAAATAAATGAAATAAATCTTTTTTAAAAAGACACAACTAGAAAAACTCTTAGTAATATAGAAGCAGCGGGGAACTTCTCCAACTTGATAAAGAGTAGCTACGAAAACCTAGCGCTTGATCATACATAATGGTTAGAAACAGTTTCCCACTCATATCAGGCAGGAGGCAAGGATGGCCCCTCTCACCACTCCTTTTCAACATCACGGTAAAAGTTCTAACTAATACAGTAAAGCAAGAAAAGGGAATTAGAAGTATAAGGATTAAAAAAAAAACTATAAGCATCAGAAAGCAAGAAATAAAACTGTTCAAAGATATAACTGGAAGGAGGAGCCCCCAGGTCCTACCTTTTCCTGTAGTTTCTCCTGTAGGAAGCAGGTTAGGTTCTGTAGTTGCTCAGTCAACACCCCAAGCTCCTGGGAATACTGATGCGTCTTCTCCAGGTCTTGCTCCTGGTATTCTGCTATGGTGCTAGCCAGCTGAGCCCTGAAATGAGGAGCAAGGAAAGCTGCCAAAGACCAAAGACCTCTGAACACCTCTCCCAAATCCCCAGCATTGCATTTTAAGAGTAAACTAGAACTTTGGCACAACACCCTTCTTAGAGATTAGCTTCCAGAAGCATTCCTGGGAAAGAGAAGCATTTAGGGGCTCTCCCTGGTGGTACAAGGGATTAAAGTGCAGCATCATGAAGCCACTGTAGCCCAGGTTTGACCCCCAGTCAGGGAGCTGGCCCACATGGTGTGGCAGCTCTCTCCTGTCTCACCTGCTGCTCCCCCTCAGTAGTGTATTTCTGTCGATCTGCCTATTCTGCTCCCCTCTCTGTCTCTGGTGAATCCTCTACACCCCCACATCTCTGGCCTGTATCTCAGCTCTTGTATGCATAAATAAATAAATCTTTAAAAGAGAGAGAGAGAGAGAAGCATTTTGGGGGAAGCACAGACAGGAGGGGCTCTTACTTCAGGTTTTCTATGGTGTCCTTGAGGTCTTCACACTGCAGGCTGCGTTCCCGGAGCACTTCCAGCGTGGTTTTCAACTGACACTCAACCTGACCCAGCTCCAAGTAAGCAACCTGATTCTCTTGGTCAGCAAACTAGGAAAGCAGGAAAAGGAAAGGAAGGAGCTAGGATGGTGGGGAAAATGAGCCCCAGTGCCTTGGGACTTTCAGAGCCTTGGGAGCAGAGGATTTTCCAGTCCAGAGTCTAAAACCTCACCCCAATACCACCAGGCACCAGTTTCTCTTGCCAGCTCCCCAGCCTGAGGCATGTCTTACCTCCAAGGTCTCCTTCAAGTCTTGTACCTCCTTGGCCAGGACAGCCTGTTGCTGCTGCAGTTCAGCCTGCATGTGTTTTAGGGCCATCTCTTCCTGTTGCCATCTGCCAGAGACCTTATATTAGAGTCCATTTAGCCCTCTAGCCTGAGTACCTACTGCTACAATAACCTGAGAGGAACTCACTGAGCAGCCTGCTCCTCTTTGCTCTGGGTAAGCTGGCAGAGCAATTCATCCTTTGTGGCCAGGTCCTGGGTACAGTGGGCATGCTGACTCTGTAGCTCTTTCAGCTGGTTCTCCATGCTGGCCAGAATCTGCAGCTGGACCCGGAGATCTAGACCAAGAGTATCCTAATGACACTATGTGGTCACCAGGCCAAAATCCTATACTTCTGCTCCAAAACAAGTGCTCTCTAGCATTTTTTTGCTCTACTGCCACACCCCAAGCCTCATGGCAAAATTACTTGCACACACACACGTGCACACACCTGTTGCTAAACGAGTGTTTTCCAACTTTAATTGTTCTACTTGGCCTTTGCAGTCCTCTAAATGGGCAGAGACTTGTTCCAGTTCCCTAGAAACCTAGGAAGAAAAGACAGTTTTCCTCCCACCACTCCTGCTGAATCAAGAGACCCAGCACTTACTTTAGGACAGCAAACAATCTTGCTCCTGCACAGAAACACTGAAGCAAATGAGGCCAATTTTCAGAGAAAAGGTAGAAAAGTTGCTGAAGAAGGTGCTGAAGTACAAAGGAAACAACTGGGCCCAACGTCATCTTACAGCAAAGGAACCTGACTGATCTCCAAACCCTCAGGGTAGAAAAAGGTCAGAGCCAAGTTAAGAAGCTAATGATCATACTCCTGAGGAAAAGCCGTCTGTAGAAAAAGAGGAAGCCAGAACTAAAAACTAAGAGTCCCCACTCCTAGGTTGTACCTGCTGCTTTTCTTCAAGTGCAGTGTCACGCTCCTGCAGAGTCTGCTTGCTCTTGGCTGTGAGTTTCTTTATGAGTTCTTGAGACCGACTCAGCAAAGCTGTCCATGTTACATACTGCCAGGGGAAGCAAGCAGGTCAGCAGAACGAACATGAGGCCAAGTGCCTAACAGGGCTGGAGTAAAGGAGTGGTGTGGTGGCCCCAAATACTCACATCCAGTTGCATGGCTATCCAGTCCTGATGCAAGACTGAAGTAAGACTCGATGTCTGATGAGCCAGCTCTTCTTGCTCAGTATGAAGGCCTACCTAAGTGAGAAGAGGGCCTATGCAAGGAGCCGCTTTCCTCTGGTCACAGCATGGTGGGGGTATGTGGCCATCCTCCCAATGTGTTGGCATGGGCCCTCCAAAAGAAAATGTACTCAAGGCCCTCCCTGGTGGCGAAGCGGGTAAAGCACAGCACTAAGATGCTAAAGCCACTTCAACACGAGTTCAATCCCTGCCCCGGAGGTGACCACATGGCGTGGCAGACCTCTCCTGACCCGCCTGCTGTTCCCCTCAGCAGTGTGCTTCATCAATAGGCCTGTTCTGCTCCCCACTGTCTCTGGTGAACCTTCTTACCGCTCCTGCACCTCTGGCTGTACCCCAGCTCTATACGCATAAATAAATAAATCTTTAAAAAAAAAAAAAAAGAAAGAAAAGAAAATGCACTCAAATTATACCATTTGGGTCTGGGTTTCCTTCAAAAGGCTTCTGAACTTCCTCAAGGATGCCACATCCTGTTCTAGCTGGCTTATACGCTGGCTGGCATGTGCACAGAAAGCCTCTAGCACAGTTTCTGCCTGTTAAGAGGAAAGATGGCAAGGACAGAGTGAACACAAGAGGGAAACAGCATAAAAAACCCTAACTTTCCATGGCTCCACTTAGTTACTTCATTACGCCTCAAGGGAAGCGGTTCCTAGGTTGCCTGTTTATGTCTCCAATGAATCTGCATTCCCACAGGAAGAGCTCTCCTACTTCCAAGGACAAAAACCTGCCGCCTTACCGCATCCTGGCCTCGGAGGGCCATTTCCTCTCTGTGTTTTGCCTCCGCGCCTTCTGCTTTGAGGCTCTGGAGTCTTGTCCTCAATTTCTTCAACACATCGAAACAGCAGGAGACCAAGGTTTCCACACGCCGAGACTGCATAAGAATCAGATGCTGTGTCTTGTTCCAATGTTTGGCTTTCAGCCCCACCAAAGGCCTCTACCTTCACATTTCTTACCTCCTGGCTCATGGTGGCTTTATCTTCTTCTAAGTGTAACATAGATAGGTGAAGCAAGGATATCACCTCTTTAGAGATCAGCACCCATGACTGCTGTAGAGGGAAAGATGATTTGACTAGGTCAAATAAAGCCACTGAGCAGGAAGAAAGGGACACTGAGGAGAAAGTCACTGATCCCAGTTTGAAGTTCCCAGCAGGGAGGTGAACTTAACAAAAGTTAGAAAAGCTCTCTTCACTGCCACGACTGTTGTGTCTGTCATTCTTGATCTTCACCGGAGACCCAGCAGAGGTATAGACATAGTCAAACACTTACCATGATATTCCTGGCCTGTTGCAGCGCCTGCCCAATCTCTTGGTTCTCCCAAAGACATGGAGGCTTCTTACTTATCTAGTCAGAGAAACAGAGTTGTTCCTTTTGTGTAAGCTCTACCAACACCCCATCCCCTCTCCTACCGAGTTAAAAGAATCTTCCCTATTAAAAGTAGGAGCAAAGTTCACAGTTTGATGAAGCCAAGTCAGGAATGAAATCCAGAGGTTGATTAAAAACCCCTTTTTAAAATAACATTCTTTTCTAGTTATAAGAGCAACCGATGTTTGCTCTAAATTTTTTGAAAATACACAAATGAACAAAATGGAAAAAAGTAATCATTAATAGTTTTACCAGCCCTCCCTGGTGGCACAACATTATGGAGCTATTGCAGCCACTACAGCACAAGTTTGATCCCCGACCAGGAGGTGACCCACATGGCATGGAGGACCTCTCCTGACCCACCCAGTGCTTCCGTCAGCAGTGTATTTCCATCAATCTTCCAGTTCTGCTCTCCACTCTGTCTCTGGTGAATCCTCTCACCCCCGACACACACCTCTGGCCTGTACCCCAGTTCTGTATGCATAAATAAATAAATCTTTAAAAATAGTTCTACCAACTACAGCAGAGTTTCTTAACCAATAGTATAGCACTCCCCTCAAGAGATCACAGTATACCTCTACACAGAAATTTGGATATATCTTAGATTTGGTAGTATCTTAAAGTTGTTGATGAAATACAGTAATGCTTAAGAAAAACTATAATTAAGACTATGTAAATAAATTAGGGCCCTGCTCTTAGTAATTTTATTAAGCTACTGTTGTTATTTAGCCCTGAATCAATATTTAATCTCCTCACTGGAGTAGCCTGAGACTGGAACATCTGCTTTGGGGGGAACCTACTTTGGAATACCACCCATTTTTAATTTCTGCTGGTATTTTTACCTGACCTCAAAGCTTCTCAGAGGGTTATCTGAGCTGATTTTTTTTTTCTTAAAAACCATAAACTTATGTTAAACTTGTTTTGCCATGGTCTTAAAAACTCTTCACAAATATACTTTCACTGATTACAGAATATTCCATCGTATGGATGTACCATTATTTTAATTTTTTTTCCTTATTAAAAATGTGATTATCGGCCCTCCCTGGTGGCACAGCAGGTTAAAGCACTGCACAAGGAAGCTTTAAGCCACTTCTGCATGAGTTCGATCCACCTGCCCCAGAGGTGACCACATGGCACGGCAGACCTCTCCTGGCCTGCCCGCTGCTCCCCTCAGCAGTGTACTTCATCGATCTGCCTGTTCTGCTCCCCACTCTGTCCCTGGTGAATCCTCTTACCCTCCGCATCTCTGGCCTGTACTGCCATTCTGTACAAATAAATAAATCTTAAAAAAAAAAAATGTGATTATCTTTATATAGGTTTTTTTTCTTAGGATTTATCCCTAAAAGTGGAGTTACTGGGTCAAAAACTCTCTTGAACTGTTTTTAAAGTCTTAAATTGTTTTCAAAAAAGACTGAAGCAATTTATTGCCTACTGGAAACAGGCCAAGCTTACAAGCATTATCCATTTTACTATTTTGTCAGAATACTACTTTGGCACTTGTTTCGACTGCATGTCTTTAATTACCAGTAATAATAACTTTCTCAAATATTAGTAAATTTTACTTTCTTGTCCTCTAACTGTCCATTATCCTGGAGCAGAAAAAATTTTAGTGTGCTCTGTAAAGTAGATCAGGAGGATCTCCAAGACAGCAAAGTCATAAAATTGAAAGTTCTGAAAGTGGAGAGTCTTCATTACTGCTGAAAGATAGCCATCACTGTAGCAAGCTGTGCAGTGCTGTACTGTGCTGTGGCAGTGTGCATTTAAGGAGGCAGATCTCTTGGAATTCATCACTCTTCCCCAGCAAAACAAACATCATTCCCTATGGTGCCAGCTGTACGGCACGAAGTACCTGAAGAGCCCTGCAGAGGGCACCATACTGTTCTGCCGGTGCAGTCAGGCAGACGATGAGATTAGAGCGTGACCTACACAGCAAAATGTAAGGGATGTGTCCCTGGAGGCAGAACAACTGAAGATCAAGGATAAGAGGGAAGAATATAAAAATAAGAAAACATAGGAAAGAAATTAAGCAGTTAGAGGAACAAAGAGACTATGGTTTCCAGGACTTTGGCAAAAGGTAAAGTCGTTGAGGAACTTGTCAAGGTAAAGGCGGTCTCTGGACATTTGGAAACCAAGTCTTCTTTGCAACAGCCACAATGCCAAGGCTATCGATCCCTTCCCTGACACCATTCCCTTCTTTCCTAGGCCTGTGTTGTCACAGTAAGAACCTCTCGGACAGTAGTCCTTAACTGTTTTCCTCTCATAACCTACAGTAGTCTTAGAAGATTAAGTAAAATTGTTACAAAGGCTGTAGTATACTATATTATGTAATACATTATTTGTACTTCAAAGTCTATTATTCATCAGTTTCTCTGCAACAACAAAAAATTGATCTAAGTTTAAACTTCTTTTAAATTCCTCTGCTCATAACATTTGGAAGAAAAGTTTCTTTTGGATGAAGAAATATTTTCATCAGTTGTATACTCATCATTGTAAATATTCTAATTTTGAATAAAATCATAAACATATGCAGTGAAATTTTAATGGGAACCATCTGTTAATAAAATAAATGAAGATTCTTCCCCTTCATGTGCCTCGTGGTCACTACAATTCCTACAAGACACATGGTTCAACAATAATTTTGTCTATTTTCCTTTCTTAAAGATAAGGACATGAAGGAGAAATCTTCATGTAATTAGTAGATAAGGAAGAAGGAAGGCAGGTCATGTCACCCAGTTCTGGGAGCACCTTTGAAAACATACACCAAAAGTCTCAAAGTGAACTTTCATCAAAATCTTTAGTGTTCCACTGACATAATTAAAGTCTTCCTTCAATTTTGTTGAAAGCAGGTAAAAGTGATGTATTATATGGAGTCATTGCAGTCACATATGCATTCTCAGCAAGTATATCAATATTTCCTATTGTCCTTTAATGACTATACCTGACAAAATAAGATTCAGGAAATGTGGTAAGTACATTCTTTAGTAAAGTAGGCAAGAGCAGTTGAGAATGAGGAAGAAAAAATTAGTGAACAGTACATCCGGAAATTGAAGATTCTAGAAACCAAGCCCTTCAAAATTTTCCTTGCCTGTATTCCCTTGGGAAGTCTTGATGTACCCCAGGGGTAAAGTGAGTATCCACAGTTTTAGGGTTTTTTGTTTTTTTTTTTTTTCCAGAACCCACTTTTACATACATTCTAAGAATGTGCTGTGATTAAGGCATCCCCTTTGCCATCTGGCAGATTATCATACACTTTCAGGAAGAGGCTCAATGAGATTTTCCAAGCTTTGGGAAGAACCTGCTTACCCCACAGGGAGAGGTATCAGTCTGTGTGTTATTGTCCTGAACTTCTGGGTGAGAGCTTGTCAGCTGTCTCTTCCAATCCCGCAGCTGATGGGAAAGAACTTCCAGAACGACAAGAGAGTTCAGCAGGTTATCTTCCAGGTCACGTCGAGATAAGGTAGTCAGATCTGGAGGGCGGCTGCAGCAGGAAGAGAGGAAGATAAGAGAGAGGAGGAGGTGGGAGTATCAGGTCCAGGTCTAAGTGGACTCAGGAGGTGCAAGGATACGCTTACCGCCACAAGAGGTGCTCTGGCTCAGGACTGTCCTTCGTGTCCACCACGCCTGTTTGGGATGCTTCTGAACTCTTTTCATGTGGGGCTGGGGGAGTAAACCAAGTCCCAACCGAGCAAGTAGAGAAAGGCGTTGTGCCAATCGCAGCATCCCGAAGCACAGAGGGAAGGGATAAGCTTTGACGGAGATTTTCCAGCATGGCAGAGGTATTTACACTTTTTTCCAGCCAGGCCAGTGGAGACATCCACGGTCCTGTATCAGAGATGAGAATCCTACCAGCATCTTCCACTGCCAGTTCTGAAGCTACCTGGGATTCCATCTCTCCTGGATTTAGGGTCAGACATGTGGACGGAATACCTTCCATATCTGAGACAAATGCTTGCTCTCTGAATTCAGCCTCCTCATGGAATGTGAGAGAGCTCATTTCTCCTTCCTTATTAGCTCTGTGCTCTACAATTCCCTCTCCTGGGTCCACATCACTGACAGGGAAATCTGCGGCTAAGGCAGTAGAAGGGGAAAGCCAGAGCATGGAGGTAGGCAAGAGGGCATTACTTTCAGAAGGGCTCAAGTCCTCAGCCTCAGCCAGGCCATCTCTCAGGCTTTCCTTGGGAGAGTGTGGGCCCTGCTCGGAGTTCAGATTTGGTGAGTACTCTAAGAGATGGGGTGGAAGCTCTTCAAATGTAGGTTTCTCAGGCAAGGCAAGAACAACTTCTGAAAAGCTGTCTTCTACGCAGGGTGCTTCCCCCTTTCCCTGAAGATCTTCTGTTCTCAAAGGCTCATCTAGAGACGTGCTATTCGTCTCTTCCATGGTGTCTAAATGGACTGTGTGTGTAATATCTTGCTGCTGCCCCAATATAGGAGGTTCCAGGACCAGGGTTTTAATCACATTATCAGCCAGTAAGTCTACCGTTTCCTCAGATGCTTTGGGAGTAGAGTTGGTTTGGGGAACTGGATCAAGGTGGGGCTCATCAGATTCCTGTTGACAAGTTTCTAGCCACTTTGAGGGATGGCTAAACTGTTCTGAAGGAGAGTCTGTCTTCTTAGCATTGACACACTCCAGTAGAGACGAGTTGTTGCTGCCTTTCTGCCAAAGGAAACAAAAGCAGTTGACTCTGCTCTCCAATATACAATTATATGTACAGGATACCTAAGAAAAAAGAGTTTTCGCTGCCTCCACTTAGTTAAGAACTCTGCTCACTACAGTGATCCAATACAAAAAAAACAAAAACAAAAACTAAGAAGCCATTTTGGGGTCTTTCAAGTGTAGACTGTTAAAACCAGTCTATAGTAAAACAGTTAACAAGGCTGAGATAATCTAGTCATACCATGCAGGGACAGACAGTAGCTTGAATAGGAGGATCCTATTCTTCCTCAACTGTGTTCTAGGGAAACGAGCAGGGAGGGTTGCGAGGCTCAAATTTCTGTCAGAATCTAGAGTTGGTATAACATTTTCTCCCCTCTGGAACAAATAAGAAATTGAGCACAATTCCATGGACCCGAGTGACCTAGTCTCCCTGGTCCACTGGAGGTGTAGGCATCCTGGATACATGATTGAGTTCATTCAGCTTGGGATTTGAGAAGCTCTATCCTTTGTAGCAGGAGAGAAAGAAGAGCAGCGAGACTTTCTCCTGGTTCCTGGACAAAGAAACTGACAGCCTCCCACTTCTGGCTCACAGGGACAAAGATCACTGCACCTCTACCACTTGCAGGTTTATTGGACATGAGACCCAATGAACAAAGAAAAGGAAAACATGAATGTACCTGAGTGGATCTAATAGCCAGAGGAAGGACAAACCCTAAGTTAGAAAGTAGACCCTATGAGATGAAAATAAGATGGTAATCCAAACCAATAAACATAACAAGATTTAGGTTCAACAAACACACAGAGACTTTTTTTGGGGATATAACTATTACTTATAAACAAAAAATTTCAGTAAAATAAATTGAAAGATGTTTAAGAGTTGAGAATAGGATTACTAATCTGGTCAATCAACTCTAAGAAACATCTTAAATACAAAGAAATGTAAAGCTGAGGGAAAAGTTAAGAGGATTACGAGAAAAGTCAAATGAAGCTAACCTGTGAATAAATGTTCTGTCAGGAGAAAAGAACACATGCCACGAGGCACTGATTAACAAATACCATCGTAAAATTTTTCCAGGGTAAAGAAAAATGTTCTTTTGCACATTGAAATGGCTCAAGGTCCAAGCAGCATTGACAAGATCTTTAAAAAGGAATTCTGGGTTCTCCCTGGTGGCTCAACAGGTCAGAGCACTGCACTATGAAGCTCTCAGAAGCCACTGCAGCAAGAGTTCAATCCCCAGCCAGGGAGCTGACCCACATGGCACAGCAGACCTCTCCTGATCTGCCTGCCGCTGCTCCCTCAGCAAGTATTTCAGTACATCTGCCTGTTCTGTTCCCCACTCTGTCTCTGGTGAATCCTCTCACCCCCCACACTCTGGCCTATAGCCCAGTTCTGTAAGCATAAATAAATAAATCTTTAAAAAAAAAAAAAAAAGGAAGGAAATTCTAACACATCCTAGAACAGTTTGAGTGAATCTTTAAGACATTATATTAAATGAAAGAAGTCAATATAAAGGAACAAATACTGTATAATTGCACTTATACACAGTATCTAGATTAACTTTCAGCAACTGTAGAAAGATAATTGCTTAGGGGCTGGGAGGGAAAACTCACAGCACTTTTATGGTCATCTGTGAACACATGGAGAGCAGCAAAAAACATGAGATGCTTGAAACACAATTCCTAGCTGAAGTTGAATAAAGTGACATTTTGCCTTCTTGATTTATCTCTACACTGTAAACAAATGCCTTTTTTGTGGTCTTTTTAGTGGTAGGTTTTTAGCATTTTTTTCTGTTTTTGTGGGTGATTTTGCTATTTTAAACAGCCCCTAAATATAAATCTAAAAAGTGCTGACTAGTGTGTGAAGACTGTGATGTACCTTATGGAGAAAATGTGTTAAATAAGTTTTATTCAGGTATGGGAGCTATTGACTGGGTGTTCAATGTTACCAAATAGTAATACAAAATAAAGTGCCTTTAAAACAAATGCACATAAAGTAAGGTCACACTAGATTGGTTGATTTAGAAAATTTTTGTTCCAGCCCTCCCTGGTGGAGCAAGGTGTTGAAGTACAGCACTATGAAGCTATCTATCAACAGCCCCTGCAGCCATCCCAGGCTAGGGAGGTGACCCACATGGCGCAGACAATGGGGCAGCAGACCTCTCCAGTCTCATCCGCTGCTCCCCACAGCAGTGTATTTCAGTCAATCTGCCTGTTGTGCTCCTCACTTTGTCTCTGGTGAATATTCTCACCCCACTCCCGCAACTCTGGACTGTACTCCACTTCTTGTACACATAAATAAATACATCTTTAAAAGAAAAAAAAAAAACATTTGTTCAGTGAGTCATAGGAAAATAATCTCGTTCTGTATTTCTCTTAGGAGCTGCAATTCAGTATTTACTAATTAAGTGTTCTCAGAGATTCTTATAGGCCATAGCTACAATTAACCAGAATTGACTGTCTATCTGATGAATAAAAAATTATGTGTGTTTGCATATTATTAAAAAAACAAAGTAGGATGCACATCAAGTTCTTAAAATGGATTGGTTATTTGGAAGAGCAAAACATGTGTGGGAGGGATTAATTCCAGAGCAAGGGCAAGAGAGAAAAGTATAGTTAAGCACAACAACAAAAAAGGTCAGGGAAGAGAAATAAGGGAAAAAATTACAATTGGTAATTGCCTTTACACATATACTGATATATGCAAATAAGCATACACACAGGTGCACACAAAAAGAGATGCAGAAAATATTTTAAATATTTAAAAAATATATTTTAAATTAATTTACCATTGGCTTATAATATTATGTTTCAAGAGTACAGCTTCACACCTACCAGTATTTTAAAATGTTACTAGAGTTATCTAAGATGGTAGAAGCATATTTTCTTCCTTATATCTTATTCAAATATTACAAACAATGAACTTCAATTATACAGCTAAAATTTTAAAAAGTGGGGGCCTCCCTGGTGACTTAGGGGGTAAGTCTCAATGCTATCACTGCTACTGCCTGAATTCGATCCCTGGCCAGGGATCTGACCCACATGGTGCAGCCGACCTCTCCTGTCTCACCTGCTGTTCATCTCAACAGTGTATTTCAGTCAATCTACCTGTTCTGTTCCCAATCATCTCTGGTGGATGCTCTCACTCTGGCCTACACCCCAGTTCTTCTATGCAGTAAATAATTTTTTTAAAATAAATAATAAATTTTTATAAAGCAAAAATAAGAGTTATTTTGGGAAGGAAATTTTTTTGTCTATGAGGCTGAATAGTCAGGGGGCAGTAGGCCCTTAGGTAAAAGGGTAAAAGGGTGGGAGACCTAAATTGCAATCTATTTTGTTACTCTGATGAAATGACAGTGATTAAATTCCATAAGCTCTATTAAGATCAGTTCCCACTTAGTATTTATTTCTGTTCTACTTAAACTCTACTATCTAATGTGGTAACTACTCTCCACATGAGGATATTTAAATAAAACGAAACAAAAAATATAGTTCCTTAGTCACATTAGCAATATTTCAAGTGCTCGGCAGCCTCCTATCATATTGGACAGCAGATTATCAAAAATTTCCATTGTCAAAAAAAGTCCTATTGAAAGGTAGGTGTTAGAACCCTTTCAAGACAACTACCTTTACATGTTGTTCAGGCTGTGTCTGTTTTTAACATGTTCTTTCCTCCTATAACTTTATTACATCTCCTTCCAAAAAGAACAGATCAACTGATCAAATTAAATACAAACTCAGGGTCAAAAAACAAAACAAAACAGATTTTCCTATCTCAAGGAGTAACAGCAAAACCTGATGATCAGATTTGCTTCTAGAAGTCAAAGCAAAAACAAAAATATGGCAATTACATAATTCTATTTTCTTATTTTTTTAAAAAAGATTTCTTTATTTATGCATACAAGAGCTGGGTTGTACTCCAGAGGTATGGGAAGGTGAGCGGATACACCAGAGAAAGAGTGGGGAGTAGAACAGGTGGATCTACTGAAATACACTGCTGAGGGGTGCAGCAGGCAGACAGAAGAGGTGTGCAGTGTCATGTAAGTGTACAAACTATGTATTAGTGATGAATAAAAAATTAATTAGT